ATCAATAAATCAATTTGATATGCAGATGCTAGGAAATGAGTGGAATAAAGAGTTAGAGGTTCCTTATTGCTTAGACAATGAAAGAGCTTCATAATTTCTATGGCAATATTGTTAATGGATGTCAATCTACAACTTATATAACAAAAAAATAATACTTAGCATTAATTGAACTCCATATAAAAAAGGACTAAGATAGCATTCTGTTGGAAGTTTAATAAGGATAATACTTCTTCTTTACTTCCTCTTTTATCACTTCAGGTGTCAAGGGATTTTTAAATATTTTAAAATTTAAATTAATTTTTAAATTAAATTATTCTTCAAAATACATATTTTTACAATGTTCTATACTTAGCAGATTTTGGTACCAGTAGTGATCTATATAAATAGAGAGATTCCCAGGCTTTTTCCCTTTGTTATCCAAAACTGCTTATCCGAAAGTCTTATCAAACTTCAGGGACTGCTTATAAATTCCTTCCTTCATTACTGTTGTAACTTCAAACAGTTGATGAATAAGTGGCCATAACTCGAGGATTACCTGTATTATAAAAATAATATCAAATAATCTTTATGTCATTTCAACAAATATTGTTGTGGTTTGCCGGCAACAAGTGCGGATGGCTGAAGTCTCTGACAGCGAGGACTTGGACAAGGGGCCTGCGTGTGATGCAGGGATGGGGCCAGGACTAATGGAGAGTGGGATGCTGCCTTTGGAGGTTGTGGGGTCTGGCAACAGTGATGAAGAGGACCTCAGGGAGCCTGTGCTCAGTGCACATGCACACAGGGCTGCTCAAAGGAAAGAGCAGCTGAAGCAGAACGGGCGACTTGGGAGTAAGGCTGGAAAGTGATGGCCCCTCCCATAAGGGATAAAAGCCAGCCTTTGGGGTTGGCTTCTTTGCAAATAAGTTCTTTCTACTCAGAGTCCTCACTGAAGCCTTGCTAACTCCGGTTTGTTTTTTGAAACTTCTGGCTTTGGATATTTATCTGCAATTAGTCTTTTGTTCTTGGCAGCCTTTTGCAACCTTGAAAGGGCTTGCTCTTATGTGGGACAATTAGTTTTGAATGACTCTTGGCTATGAATGCACAGAATTCACAGCGCCGCATTAAAAAGGTTTGCTTTTATACATACTTTGTGTTTGTTTGATTTGAACAAGGCTTGGATCAGAACAATATATTGATTTTTGTCTTAATAAGAATATTTTGGAAGATATTTAAATATATTTTAGTACAGTCTTTAAGTAAGTTCAAATGTCCCTGTTGAAGAAGAAAAACCATTTTTACCCAATGAAGAAAAAACATTTTTACCCAATTTTAAGTAATTTACTCAGGTTTGGGAAGCACTGAAATTATGACTTTGCGACAAAAACTAAAATTTTCAGAGGTTAATATTCTGTTGAATTACATAGCTGTTATATGGAATTTGACAAATGGACAACATAAATATATTCTCTGTGCTTTTACTATGGGCAAAAATATTAATATTTCAGCATTGCAAAGATAAATGTATGGGACTATTTACTCAATGACTGAAAATTTGAACATACTTGCCACCTATGAGTGGATTGCTTATAGACTCAGACTTTGTATGGACCACTATAATAAAATATGGGATTTATTTCTACAAAATATAGCAGTTCAAAAATAATTATAGTTATATAATAACTATATTTATATAATATAGTTATATAACTATATTATTGAAGCGCTATACATTTATTTCTAATACATATAAATGTATTAGAAATAAATATATAGCACTTCAATAATATTTGCATTAGATAAATATATAGAGAAATGTATCAGTTAACTGTTATAATGATATGCTATACTATTCATTTGATTGCAACTCATGAGAGCTTTTGATCACTTCTACTTTGGTCTTTGGATCTCAATATTTTTGGTGTAATAAAGGTGCAGTGTTGAATAGGTAGCTCTTACTGGTAATAGGGAAAGGGTTTGTGTTTGTAGAGAGAGGGGGAAACAAAGAGAGGAGGAGGAGGAGGAGGAGGAGGAGGAGGAGGAGGAGGAGGAGGA